ATCGGAATAGGTAGATAGCTGTTAAATATCTCATATTTTATTAAAAAAAAATGTTCCCATAATTTTCGTTTTCTCTTAAGTGAGGAGTTTTTTTGTTTTATACCCTACACCACATGCACTGATGAAAGGGCATATTAAGCTTGTGCTTAAACTTAGAAATACGTGAGATAGATCGATTTTTCAATTATAACTTGTCCGTCCGTTTGTCCGTCTTCTTTTCTTATATTAAACCCATGGGTCAAAAATTTTTGTTTTCTGAAGCTAAAACGAACTTAGGTGAAAATGATCGTGGAACCGGATCACATTTTCAATCATTTTCGCCTTATATGAATGGCTGTAGGTTGGTGTAGAGCCATGGCACACTATAATGTTTTTACATGTTTTTCACATTATTTCATATTCACTTATGAAGCTTGAAGTATTCGCGGACTTCTGGGCAGCACAGTCCATCATATATATATATATATATATATATATATCAGTTGTTAGTTTGCCATCTCGATTTATTCACGAAACGATCGTAAATGTATTACTCTGGCGATTCTCAAATGTTCGTTTGTCGAAAAACAAGCAAATGTTGCAAATGATTTTGCGTATAATATATGTTAGCATTTCTCGGTTTTCCGTCGCGGTAAGCAGAAAAAAAAAAAAAAAAAATCCTCATTGAGAAAAACGAAGAAAAGCTGCATAAAATAGTAATAAACCGGAATCTTCGTTTTCATTCGAGTCATTCAGAGTCAAGGTGAATGTGAAATGAAAAACTGCTGTGTAAACAAACGTACGTTGATTTATGGGCAATAAAAATTCACATGGAAATGATTGTACAGTTGTTGTTTGTTTATGTAATTTAAACCACAAAAATGTGCAAAAAGAAATTGTTTACCATAAACGAGAAAATCAACATAATTTAAAGGCATGGAACAGAGAGGCAGATGATAATGCAACATGTGCATCCTTTACCAGTTTTTCTCTTCTTCTTTTTTTTTTTGTTTCTCCCTCTCTCTCTCTCTATATATATATATATATATATATATTTATAAATTTAAAAATCGAAAAATTGCCAAAGAAACTTTTGTGCTTTTTTTTTTTCTTCTTTTTTTTTTTTTTTTTTTGTAGAGAGTGCATGTGTGTACGTTACTCGGTGCTGCTACTGATATTGAGCAAAAATGCGAACGCATAAAATTTAAATGTTTGCACATGCGTATATATATATATATATATATATATATATATGTATGCGCATATATGGATAAGTGCGTTTATATTGATATGCATTTGTGTGTTTATTTGCACCAGAAGTGACAAACGGAAGCAATTCAACGCGTAAGCACGAATAAAACGCAAAACCAGTTATCTTATTTGCTTTTGGCGGGCGCTTAAGCATTTGTAACAGAAAATGTTTTACGATTTCGGTTGGAACGGGCGGACGATGCGCGCTAACGTTTCTTGTGCATTACATTTTTTCGGTGTATTGTAATTTATGTGATGATGACAACAACAACAACAACAAAGTATTAAACATCATTTTTGATGATGTTTTCCATATTCAAGGCGCGCGTTCGCATTATATGCAATCACCAGGAAAGGCAAAAAAAATAAACAAATAAAAGATTAGAAATTGTATAAATGTGATATTGTTTTGCAGCCTTATATGATTGATCGATCAATGAATGCAACACATGCGCATGACGATGTTGTTATGCATTGTAATCAAACGCGTTTAATTTCCTTGCCAGATAATTTTACGATGATATCATAATGTTATTGTTATTGTAAACGAAAGCTTTAATCGCGATGAATAGATGAGGAAATACATGGGCGTGGTTTTTACCCTACATCCAATGAAAATTTTTTATTCGTCTTGCACCGGCTCGCTTAGCAATAGCAATAGCAATAGCGACAGCGATAGCGATAGCAATAGTGCAAAGGTAATGTCCTATGTAAACGTAACCGTCCTATTGCATAACTTACAAGGTACAAAACATAACAAATGAATGGGAAAAGTTGATGGCCGTTTAACTTTAATCATTCTAACGGTCATTAATTAATCCATACTATGGCGCATTTAAAAGCCGACAACTCAATAAATAATGTAAATGGAAAGCCGTATGGCATTCAAATAATAATCACTTGAAAAGTGAATCGCACGCTTTGGTAATATGCGCAAATATCGGATGAAACTGCCCACAAATGATCGCAGAATTAAGATTGACATCAGTATAGGGCAACGCTTTGTTTCCTTCTGACAGATTCGAAAGGAAATCATAAGCCGTGACCTGCTTGAGTGTGCTTTCCAAGTGTGCGTCGCAACCAATGCGATTAAAGCGTGTAAAGCGCGAGTCAAAGCGCCCAGATACAAATTCAGTTCATACATATCTTAAATGACTTATCAATAATTGCAAAATCCTGGCTGGGATGTTTTGATATAATCAGATAATAGACCGGATCTTGACGCTACTATACCACCGTTTGTTTATTATTATTATTCTTCAAAACTCTCTTGATTCAGATTTTCACACCAGAAATTATAGAATTTCAATAATGATAGATGATAGGCTGGTTTTTACCAGAAAAATGACAAAAGATTATCCGATCAAATCGGCGTCTATTTGGTTTAATAAACCAAAAATCAATTAAAAGATAAGATAAATAAATGTATTTGAATTTTGATGAAAAATCGACACGAACCGAACAAGTCGATAACAAATATGTTGCCAAACGTGAATTACATTTTTAGCGTAACAAAAATTTGACATAACATTAATTGGATGGTAAGCGGGAATGCAGAGCATATCGCTTTTAATAGAAAACAAAAAAAGTTGAGTTGAATTCGATTTTGCATAATAAAGTTTTGAACTACAGTTCGCCCGCAAGAGTAAATTGGGCGAAGTGAAGAAAAAGAGACGAGCTAATGACATTCGATCGAGTTCGCGAATTATTGATCAGACAATCTTAAATCTCTGACAGGTGTGCAACACTGCATGTGTTAGACGGTCCCCTGTTCAGATGTCGTCGAAAGTCGTCAAATGTACTAAACTGACACTTAATGGCTTTTAAAAAGTGTTGCCTGATTTTTGGCGGCTTTTAACAACTTGAAGACATAATTATTATTATTTGTGCTAAAACCGTCCTCTCCCTCCTGTATGCTCCTATTATAATATTCATGCAACGATAGAGTTCTTCCCGTCAGACTTTAGTTTATTACACGCCCGTCAGTTAAACGACATCCCCGATTATTACAATAGCACTGTTTGTTGTAGGTTTTTTGTTCGTTCACATTCAATAAGCATAATAAAAAGGTGCGAATTCTTTTTATACCCTACTCCCCTTGTGATGCGGTGTACATTAAGTTTGTGCGAACGTATGTATGTAACAGCCGGAGGGACTGGGACATAGATCGAGCTTTTATCATCGATTACAATGGCATTCAAATTCATTTTCTAAATCAATCTAAGATTGTCTGTCCGTCGGTCCGTCTGACATCTTCCCATGTGCTCTTGCATTCAATCGCAAAGGACGCAAATTTTCAATATATTTTGATGAAATTTTATACGCTGACCTGTTTTAGCCAATATTTCGATCTCTTTTCATTCCTTTATGAATAACAGTTGAGCATTTAAGGGTGGGTCGTGGTCTAATATTCAATATTTCCTAATAATAATCTCTTATAAAAATTAACTAATCATCGTATGGTGGATCACGTGGGTCTTGCGTTTGCCTTTCCATCCTAATAATAAGCGCTGTAATGAAAAAGGCCTTTATATGCCAAATATTTAATGATGAAAATTGTTCGTTAGCAATCAACCATAGATAATTTGGATCAAATAGATTTACGTTTTAGATTGCGTAATATATATGGAGGTTTTCATGAAAGCAGATCCTTCTTCTTAATGCTGTTACGAAAATGTCATATTTGATGTTTTCAATCAAATACCTGCCTCAAGCAGCGGAGACCTATCGAAAAGATTACAGATTAACAGGCATTAATAGAACATTGGGCGGAAAAAGAAGAAACTAAAAGGGTATATAAGAGGAATATTTGCGGAGCGTAAAGTTAGTCGAGTCAAGATAGAGAGTTGCATTGCCATATTCGAACGAACGAACATGACAACGAAGGAGAAGGTTTCTGTAAATAATTTGTAAATATTGTAAATAACACCTATACTATCTTAAAAATCATAATTCAATGATTCAATGGGTGTGAACCCAATTTCAAAAGGATGTTAGTTGAATAAAAAAAAAGTGTAAAATTCACGCAAGACAGGTTTACGTTACGACACTAATATCGAAAATAAAATCAAAAAATAAATAAATAAATAAATAAACTACTCAACTAATTGATGATGTTATATGTATATGTGTTAAGTGTGTTTATGAAGCGCGTAGAGTTGTTTAAGTCAACTTAAACATTTCATTTGTCTTTATTTAACGCAAATGAATAAAATGTGTGCGTGCAAGTGTGCGGGCAGAACGAACCTGCGTTCGAAGCAATATGCTTGCAATTTTACAAATTGCTGCTATTAAGTTATTCAAGTAAATTTTCTCATAATAAAATGCTTTCCAAAAATGAGGACTCACGTACTGTAGGAGTTTTTTCCCTGTAATTCTTTTGTCTCTTCTTTTAAATACTCTTTGTCTTTCTTTTCTTCTTTTTTAATTTTTGCCAGGCACACACACACACACACACACACACACACACACACGCACACAAATTCATATCTGATTGTGATTTCAATTTCAAGCTCGCTGTTCGTTGATGTGATGTAAAAATTGATCTAGATTTTTAGCTATTTATTCTTGTTGTTGTTGTTGTTTTTGTTGTGATTGTTTTTGTTATTTTATTATTTAGGTTTTCCATCCAAATATATATAGTGAAAATTCTATAGCAAAATATGTATGCACGATTTTGATTAATTAAGAATGCGGTCGAAATTCTGCCAAGGGTTATATATATACATACATACATATATATATATATATATATATATAAATTCAAGTTTTGCTTATTCCGTTTGTGGGTTAGATTCTTTTAAACTTGATTTTCTTGACTCCACCGAGCCCACCGTACCTCTGACTGCCTTAATTTCCTCTTTCCCATAATCGGAAAATGTTAAGTTCACATCGTACGATGACCGAATGAAAATATCTAAAGGTGTATAAGAATTTTCGATCGGCCAAAAGTAAGAGTCTTCGTCGCGACGCACTTCGAAATGGAAATAATCATTGGCGAAGCGCTTAAGGTCCAAATAAAATTTATCGCAACTTAGCACCAAATTGATACGTTGAACTTCCGGTAATAATTTATTAAATGGATCAGGTGGCAGAGAAGCAAAATATTCAACTTCCTCTAAAAAGATAGCAAAAAAAAAAAAAAAAAAAAAACCACAAAAAACATTAGATTAAAAAGAATGATCCATAATATGATTAATTTTTACTTTTCTCTCTTCCGCGTCCAATCACCGCTTCGAGCACCTTCTGAACTTTTTCGATCAATTTAAAATGTTGCATTGCCATTAAATTCGCATCGGTTATTGTCGATGGAGGGAACTTTTCATTAATATTTATAGCGGGCGAGATGAACGTAATGAAATCTTTAAAATAAGCCTAAATCGTTTATGATATCATTATTTTATCATATTTAATTAATTAATTGATTTATATCCATATAATACTACCAACCTTGGGGACATTATTCTCTACAAGAAAAATTTTCGCCTCATCCCATGTAGAATCGGCGATAGTAACAAGTTCGTTAAAGAAATCGGCTAACATATTTTCGGCACCCTCGAGCATCAGATATGTATAGGTGTCCATGCATATAAATAGTCCCGTTAAATTATCGGGAGTTGTCTTCTTCTCTTCGCATATTGCAAATATTTTTTTCACTTTTCTTTGAAAAAATTTCACAAATTCATCGCCTTGCGATGAGGGCATGGCATCAGCAGCATTGCGCGCCAAAATAAAGACACGCTGATAATAAGTTCGATGACCTAAGCGTTCCAATTCAGCCACGACATAATGCTTTAGCGATTTACGTATCTCAAATTCATCGGCATCTTTTTTTACCATACGCGAGAAACGATTTCCGCGTTCTAACGAACCGATAGTGTCCGCGCTTTTGCTGGCTTGACTACGAGCGCGTAATTTTCGTTTAATACGTAATCGAGCAGCTCTTGCGGATTTTGATAATCCCTTGGTTTTCGGGCTCGACTTTACCGACGAAAATCTACCAAGTTTCTTTGTCGGCATTTCTATTTAATAGTTGGTTAGTCAGCGTTCCGTTGGCAAGAAAGAATACAAAATTTTTTTCCCCTTTTTCGTTATTTATTTTCTGTGATTTTTTTTTATTTTTTTTTTTTTATATTATGTTGTTATGTAGATGGGTTTCTAAGGTAACCATAGCTTATAGAATTTATAGGAGTTTTTTTTTTTTTTTTTTTTTTCTTACAGATAATTGTTCACATATTTAGTTGGCAACGGCAAAACTATGTAACGGCAACCGATCAATATCATATACAAACCGATGAAGGTCCTGAACGTTACTTTCGTTATCAAACACACAATGGACAATTTCGGAAAGAGAAGAGATTACAGGATGGTACGGTGATTGGTAAGTTGATGACTACTACTATATGGTTTGACATTTTTGACATTTGACTGTCGTTTATAACAAGGCACAGAGGCTTGGATCGACGCGGCTGGTTATTTAAGACTTAAGGATTATATGGCTGATAAGCAAGGCTATCGTATTTTGAAATCAAAAATACTGTATGTGGGCAAAGGCACAGAAATTCAGGTCAGTAGGCAAAGAAAGAATGATTCAATGAATTGGAAATTTCAAATGGAAACGTTTTGCAGGATGCTCTAAAATCTGCTAAATCGATTCCGGCGCAATCGGGTGCATTAGTGGATGGGAAAGAGGGCCTGTACAATCGACCGAACAGTATACCCGCATTAAGTAAAACAAATTATGCCTTTACGGGCAGTGCAAGTGGAAAAGATTTTAGCACAACCGTAGATCCACCGATCTTAGGCTATTTATCACCAGAGGAAGCAGCCAAACTGGAGCCTATAACATATTTAGGCTTCGATCATTATCCCAATGAATTGCCGGTAGCTGCAAAATTCAAGCTACGAACTAACGATCAACTTAACGATCATTTAAATCAGCATAATGAATATCGGGGCAGTGCTACAACGGAGAGAACGCAATCAGCAGTGCCATTACCCGTACAAGAAATACGACCACCTTATCCAAGTAAATATCGAAAATATGGAATTGGAATTGCATCTGTCCCCCCTACGCCTATAACAGTTAATGAGGCGGCCTCGAAGTATGGCAAATATTCGACGCCAGCGCCTTTTACTAATGTTCCGACACAATTCTCAACGACTGTCAATTCTGGTTATAATTACGGTACACCGACGTACAGATCCCCATCTCAAACAACTGCTTCTCTGCCTGCGCACGTGAACGCATTATTGCCGCTCTACGAACGTTCCCGATTGCCGCAATATAATGAGATTACGAATACGCAACAGGGCTTCCGTTATATTTTGCCTCATCATTATCATGAAGAATCTCAAATTAATGAGAGTAAAAAAGCCGGCAGTTTCGGTTATGTTGATCCGTTCGGCATACGACGCGTAGTATATTATAATGCGTCGCCGGAAAAAGGCTTCATACATCGCAATCGCAATCGCTATGTAGGCGTCGACGGTATCCCATTCGATGAACCTAAGCTCACGGAGAGAGAGAGTGTGTGAAATATTTGCAAAATGGGGAGTAAATCATAAAAATCTTAAATTAATACAATTTATTTATTTCGTTATTATTATCTGCGCTCTTTTAAAAGTCAAATTTATTCAAAAATCATTGCTATTGGATAAATAAATTTGATTTTTGAAAAGCTATATTTATTTAGTTACTAATCAATCAATTAATTGAACGCTAAGGAGGGAAATTGAAAGGGTCCAATCCAAACAAAGCAATAACGAACACGACCTCAATTATGTTAGATGAGTAATAGATTGTGTGTGTGTGTGTGTGTGTGTGTGTGTGTGTGTGTGTGTGTGTGTGTGTGTGTGTGTGTGT